CGCCCCCTAAGCTTTAATAAATGTGCTCTAAAGCTTGAGCTGGGGATGTTTTGAAAATGGTAAGGAAAGCTAACTCTGTGTCTTATTTTACTCTCTATCCCTACATCCCACGTCCACTGCCTCACAGGTAGGAAACGTGGTGTCCTTTTGGGGAAATGACTGGCCTCAGACTGTGTGACCCTGGGCTTCAAAGTGGGCAGGCTGCAGTTACAAGCAGTGGTTTCCTCTGCCAAAGTCCCTATTTGCCAGAAGCTTGTCTAGGGTACACTGGCCATTCCCCGGTTATCCATAGATCCCTGCCTTTGGTAGCAGAACCTTCTGGGCGTATTACGGACCCATGGTTATGGCATTCTCATGGCGATTTATGTTCCATGTCCCATGCTAGCCAGTGAAGTAGCCATAGAAACCACGATCTGTTGTAGAGCCCTGCTTAACATAGGCAGTCAGGCAGCCAGAGTGCTGCAACCTAGGAGGAGGCTGGCTAGAGATTGTTGTTGTTGTTAAGTCCTGTTGAGTAGATTCTGACCCATAGCGACCCTGTAGAGGGTTTCCGAGGAGCAACTGGTGAGCTTGAACCACCAAACTTGCATCTCAAACTGCATTAATCCAGCGCATTAACCCACAGCGCCACACCAATGGAAATAAGTCAAGAAAGAGAAGGAAGCCCACTCAAGTTCCACTAGCAATCAATAACCATCCTCCTCAGGGACCCCGGCCTTTGAACTCCCCCTTCATATTGTCCATGAGGAATGTGTCAGGCCAGATCAACCAGCCCGAGGTGAATCTGAAATGGAGTTTAATTTTTTTAATTTTTGTTGTCTTTGCAATTGCTAAGAAGTTAAAATGAGCCCAGGATGCATAAACCTTTGACCCAAGCAGTAGTAGACAACCTTCAGCATGCAGCCTGTAAACTGTCACCTGGAGCCAAATGGCTCCAGCTTTATGCCAACACAAAAGCCAGTTCACGTAAACCAGACAGCGCATGATGTATCTATCCTTAAGGAAACTTCGGGCCCACTCAGAGCCATAGAAATGGCTGCAGCGTGGCAATGCAGGCAGGGAAGGCTGTGATGAACACCTTCCAACATCTGCAGCACATAACACTCTTACTGCCTTCAAGTCCATTCGTAGGGAGAACCAACTCGAAGGGTTTCCAAGACTGTAAATCTTTACGGGAACAGACAGCTTCATTTTTCTCCCTTAGAGTGGCTGATGGGTTTGAACTGCCAATCTTGCAGTTCACAGTCCAACTGTTAACCCACTGCACCACGAGGGCTCTTTAACACTTGCAATATGCACCTAAAAATCAGACTCATCAAATGACCTGGCCTCGTTTCCTTGAGGTCACCTGTGAAATCATTTGCATGAGATTCTTCACTCCAGTGGGGCTGTGCTACCCAAGCTTGCCTGGTTCTTCAAGTTTGGAAGAACCTTCATGTTGTAAGCATGCACCAAGCAGAAGCATGGCGCTTACTTCTCAAGAAGATGGGGCAAAGGTTAGTCCCAGAATGCAAACCGTATTACACCTGTTAGTAACTGAAAGGCACAAGAACAAGAAAGCATCGCCTTCTAAACCAAAGAGATGTCCATGTGCCTGTAGACTGGACATGTTCAGTAGATCCTTATGCGCACACATGGTCCTTCAATAGAGGAACTGCAGCAACTGTAGAATTCAGCTCTTGGCTTTCCTTCTCTGATTCTGTAATGAGCCAGAAATGTGGCAAGGAAGGATGAAAGAAAGGGTCTGGCCCTAAGAAGAGCAAGAGCGTTGGTTGACAGACTTTCCCAAGCTTTTCACTTAGAAGCAATTTCTCAAGACACTAGTCAGAGCTCTTGCCTTGTGAATGGGATCGGGCAAGTGGCTGATGGGCTTGATCGTCTACACTATCTTTGTTTCCCAGTTTCCATCCTACTCCATTATCCCAGTGCTTCTGCGCAATTCCATATGCTCTTGCTTCCTACTGTGTCTGTAGCTGTTCTGACCCTGTATCGTTCCCAGCTTTTACCGCATGCCCTCTATCCTTGGTCCAGCCCAGAGCACCATAAAAGCTCCCTCCTAACCTACATGTGGAAACAGAAGGTAAAAAGTGAGATGAGTCTGGGAACAGCTCTGCTTTTCAAGGGGGAGGCCAAGCCATGACGCAGGCACCGGTGAATGGGCACAGCTCTATTAATACGTCTCCCAGTCAATCAACCCAGGAGGTGGGAGTGGGGTGGGCAGAGGCGGCAAGGAGCTCATAACTGGCAATGTTCCCTGCAAATTCAACATCAGTTACCTTCTGTGTCCATCGGCAGTAATTGAAGGCAGGAAAAATGTCTAGGTGATTAACTGGTGGTAGTAAACTTTCTGATCAAAGTGGGTATGAGAAGATAGCTGGAGAGATAACCCTTATAAATAAGTATCTGTAAAGTATGTGTGTCCTTGAGAGTGGGGACGGTAACTAGAACCTAGGTATTTTAATTTGGGCTAAGTGCAGAAAAGGCAAAAAAACAGTGAGCATATTTAGTTGTAAGTTCTCAGAGAGCGAAGGTCAAATGAACAATTCTGACACAAGAAATGAATCCCACAGATACATGCCCTGTGGGGATTTGGGGTCATTGTTGCTTATTTGCCTTTTTCTGTCTCATAACTTCTCTCATGCTGGTTTTTTGTTGTCTAGAGTGTTTCTGGAATGAGAGGAACACTCATCCTTCCCTCAGTGGGTCACTGTCTGGGACGTCTCCAAGCTTCCCTCTGCTCTCAGACTTCCCAGGATGGGCCAGGCCCTCTCTTCCCCCATGGCCACTTGTCCCAGACTCTCCTCTTTCTTCCACTTTGTTTTCTTCACCCAGTTCTGAGATTTATGGAGTTTGCTGCAAGACACTAAATCTTCGACCAATCTGAAGCTCATGGCAATTGGAGACTAGCTCATTTGCCTTCCCACAAGATCCCTTATTTTGACAAACGACCTGGGGAAAACACAACTTGCTGGTTTCTGTCAGTCATGTTCCTTAGTGAACAGTTCTGGATTTGTGCCATTGGGGTGAGGGCCTCCAGCAGCACCCCCCAGGGAGTGTCCCCTTCAACAAGCTCTGTTGTCTTTAACCATGGCTGAGTTGCACCTTGTTGACTACAAGACAGTAGAGACTGTAGCATCTGCAGTCGGCAACACTGTTGGCTGAGGAGGGAGACCCTCTCCACCATGTTTCAAGTTGAGCTTATTTAGACATGTTGCTGGAGGGGCTTGCACATCACGCAGCGGGCTAATTGGCTGCGGTGCACTCTGCCTCCAACCCATCTCCATTCTCCAATTAAACTCCCATCATCCAGTTGTCCTGGGCGACCAGCTTGCTGCTGCTGCGGATTTGGCATTTCTGTTTGGATTTGGTTTGGGGGGTTTGTTCGGTTTGTTTGTTTTGGGGTTGTTTTTGTTTTGTTTTTTGGTAGCCTTTTAAAGGTACCTTGCTGACACATTTTAAATATTTCATTTTTTAAAAATTTAAACTGTTTTAATTAAAGCACTGTTCATGGAACCCGAAGTCACAAGTTATTTCCCCACATCCTTCAGTGCTTAATCTTAGAGCCGAATTGGAAATATCGATAGAAAGTGTAAATCATGCCCTCCTGCTGAAAGCGGTGTATCAGGTTTCGGCTCAAAAGAGCACCATTACCTTTAGCTGTCACGGATCTGTACACTTGATCGATAAACTTCAAATATTATTAGAGGTGGAGGCTTCAGAGATTTGCTCTGTTCTTTGGAGAGAGACAGAGATAAATCTTTCTTAAAAATTGACTTGAATTTGCACTCTCAGTCTTCCTGGTGAAATGCATTTCTCTTAGGCGTCCAGCAACTGCAAGGGGGACAGATTTATAGGCCATGTGCTTCTTGTACTGAAAGATTTAAATGGTAAATCCTTCACATATGACTTCACAAATCATGTAAAGTTAAAAGATTTTTGCCATTTCTGTTGCTGCTGCGCTTAAATTGTAAGGTACAGCCAGTAAATCATTTTAATGGCGGTGTCGTACTCGACTCAATAAAAAAAATAAATAAATAAAAGACAATGGTTTAGCTTCCATTCCAAAATGTTAATGTATTAATCAACGGGAGAATAATTGTTTTTTACTACATTATAAATCTCGGGTGCCATTAGGATTTCAGCAAGGGGTGATGTAGCCACATTCCTAAATTAAAATTGTTTACACTGCCATCCATCCATTCTACATTGCCATAGCTCATTCTGGGTTCATTTTGGAGTTGTTCCCCAGCCAAGCATGTCATTCCTCAGTCGGAAGAAGACATCCGAAGGGAGTGATGCTTATAAAAGAAAATTAATTGCATCAGGAGGTGTTAGATAAATAAAATAAACACTGTCTGTGGCAACGTCCCATTATTCCTTGCTGTCCCTTTGGAAATAGGTTTTTAGGTTTTAGATTGAGGCTCACTCCCTCATACATCCTAAATGTAGCAAGCTTGGCACATGCCTTTAGTCTTCTAATCCTTGTTTTAACTCTCATCAGCTGTGGCTTTCGAGCTCCTTACTTTTCCTGTGCCGAGAAGGGAGTCAGTCAGTCGCTGGGCATCTGTAGAAAGCTAGTCTGTGGTCCCACCATAACTCTTGTGATTGTCTGAAGGTGCTAATCAGAATGCCCTTAATACTAATACTAAGACCAGCATCCTTCAGTTGGGTCTGCAGCTGGGTATATAGATGGAGTGAACACCAAGAGTAGGTGAGCACCAGGTAGTCGATTTCTCCCCTCCCTACCTCCCTAAGCTTGTTCCACATGCATCCCTGCTCCTATGCTGTGTCTAATGAAGTGGCCTTGTGGGGAGAACAAATCAGTTCAACACTGGACAGGTCGGTCTGTCCCCTCTGTGTAACTTGATCCATCTCGATTGTTCTCTCAGACTCCTTCGTGAACAAAGTAGGTGACCTTCTGGTCCCAAAGGCACTGTCCCCAGGGCTTCTGGTGTCTTGTGATGAGCTCTACATCCCGAATCCTCTTCTGATTCCAACAGATTCTCGGGCAGGCGAAGAAGGCGCCATACGGGCAGTGGACCACGCTGTGATCGGCGGCGTTGTGGCTGTCGTGGTTTTTGCCATGCTGTGCTTGCTCATCATCCTGGGGCGTTATTTTGCCAGACATAAAGGTAAGCGAGGTGCTCTGGGAGGCAGGAGACTCCGTGTCACCACAGCCCGTGCACTGGGGACTTCCCAAGGTTGTCCTTGATAGGTAGATTGGTCTGTGTGACCACCCAGCCTGTTTGATTCCTGTGGCTGGGAGAGAAGAAGAAGGGGTTTTAAAAAAAAAAAACAAAAAAAACAGAAATCTTAGCAGCTGCTGATTAGCACTCTGAGAGTTGATGAATAGCGCTCCTTGATTTGGATTTTCTCTAAATATCAAGCTTTGTAGATTTGTTATTCTATAATCTGTAGCTGGGGACAGGGTAAAAATGATAAAGTAGGGGTTTATGTGTGAGGTGTGCTGTGAGACCCCCCAAAAGATCACTGTGGAAAAGGATCCCCAGAGCCTCCTGTGGCTGTAAAGTCAGGTGAGCCAGCCCTGCCCACAAACTCTATGTACATCAAGAATACTTCCTTAGTTTGATGTGCCCAGGTTAAAGAAAATCTTTTGGCTTAAAAGCCACATAAATATGTATTTTTAAAATTATCAGTGCAATTGATTTAAATTGCCATTAATCATCACACTTCTCAGCTGTGCGGTCTAGATGGGCAATCATCTCTCCCAATACTCCTCCTCTCTGCCCCATGCTGCTCGGATCCTCTTCTCCCCTTTTGGTAATTTATTCTTCTTTTCCTTTGTCCGCCCTTGTCTTTCTCAGTTGTTTTTCTTAAGCACTGTGCATTGAGCTTGGGGGATCTTCACATAGTGTCCATCTTAGGCGCTTGCAGACTGCTTGATTTTAGAACCTGGGTTAGAGGGTTTCTTGAGAGTAGCAAAGGAGACTTGGGGCACTCAACTACTCCCTCTAGGACATCAAGAGACACGTAAAACGGTTTGAGCCTCTGGGAGCTGTCCTCTGCCCGCACTCAGGAGGCAATCTGTTTGGGCTGAGACGTACAGGGTTTCTGTGTCCCGTTTGATGGAGACAGAACGCAAAGGCCAGCAGCCAGGGCAGCGGTGGAGGACCAGGGGAAGGGAACACGTGCATTACTCCAGGGGAAAGTGGGGTCCAGGAGGAAAGCATTTGACTACCAGCCTTCTCAGCTTTGTCACCTTGGAAACCTGAAGCAATAGCAACTGTATCTTTTACAAATACTGCTATATACTGGGGAGAGGGCCGTTCCTTTATGGGGGGCAGTCTCAGCTCCACCTGTTTACCACATCCAGGTGCGCTCCTTGTCTTTCTTCATTTAAAGACTTGGTGATGAGAGTGTTGCCGACTTTGTAATGCTCCGTTTCTTGTCCTGACAAGTGGCTGTGCCAATTAGCAAATCCATGAATCTGGGTCCAACTTAGAACTCCATTGTGAGAGAGAATCACTTGTTCATTAAGACAGATCCTAAGCCTTGCTATCAATCTGGACGCTCCAGCCTCGATCTGGGACTCCACTTGGAAATGGAAGGCACAACATATCAAACATGTTTGTGCAAGTTCAAGCACGTTCTCAGTTACGACTAAACACGAATGATTCACAAGCACAGGAGACTGAGAAGCAATTTTGAGAGGATGGTAGAAGGATCATGAGGGCCCTAATTCATATATTGGCTAATTGCTCTTCCTTGCTTTGGTCTTTAACCATGTACGTGCTCATAGCTGGTCATTGGTCCTGGGTGTTTACTGTTCACACGTTAGTCAGCAGCTCTCCAGCTTCCTGCATTTTTAGCACACACCCACGTCTTCTTTTGCTGACATCCTCTGGTCATAATCACTGCTCTAATGTCTCATTTGCTGAATTATATCGCAGCGGTTCAGTTGGAGTGGTGCCTTTGGAACCCCTGGATCCCCATTTGTCTCACCCACCTCCCTCTCTTCTTCCAATTGTTTTTTCCCCTCCGCTGCCTGCACACCACTTGGGCTGATGATGGCCATAAAGCAAGTTGCCATCTCTGTACCGCTTTACACAGAGGCCAGCAGACAGTCATGGTGCTCTACCCCTTCATCTTTCAGGTACATACTTCACTCATGAAGCCAAAGGAGCCGACGACGCAGCAGACGCAGACACAGCTATAATCAATGCAGAAGGAGGACAGAACAACTCCGAAGAAAAGAAAGAGTACTTCATCTAGATCAGCCCTTTTGTTTCCATGAGGTGTCCAACTGGTCCTATTTAGATGATAAAGAGACAGTGATATTGGAATTTGCGAGAAAATCGTGTGTTTTTTTATGAATGGGTGGAAAGGTGTGAGACTGGGAAGGCTTGGGATTTGCTGTGTTTAAAAAAAAAAAAAAAACCTGTTATTTGAAAAAGTACACTCTGCTGTTTGACACCTCTTTTTTTGTTGTTGTTTGGTTCGTTTTGTTTTTCAGTTATTATTTTTTTCCTACCAAGTGAAACTTGGATACTTGGGTTTAGTTTATGTAGACTGCAGAAAATTCTGTGCCTTGTTTTTTTGTTTTGTTTTTTTTTAATTTGTTGCATTCCCTTTTTCTTTCTTTTTTTTCTTCCTTTGTACACATTTATTTTTCCAAAAAAAAAAAAAAACAAATTTTGGAATTTTTTTTCCAAAATCTCCCATATTGGAATTTGCCTGCTGGGATTCCTTAAAACTTTCTCCCCACTGCTTTTTGTTTTTTGTGATTGTTTTTACTTTTGTTTGCTTTTAAAATAACTGCTTTCTGTTCAAAATTCAGTTTCATCCAAGGAGAACCAGCACAGTTTAGATTTCATAGTTCAGAATTTAGTGTACCCATGATGCATTCTTCTCTGTTGTCGTAACGATTTGGGTGAACAAACAATGAGAACTCTTTGCTGCTGCCCATGTTTCAAATACTTAGAGCAGTGAAGACCTAGAAAATTAGACTGTGATTCAGAAAATGTTCTGTTTGCTGTGGAACTACATTACTGTACAGGGTTATCTGCAAGTAAGGTGTGTCAAAATGAGATTGAATCTGTCTTTAATTCCGTATCTGTAGACGGCTCAGTAGAGATCCCTCACACTATTCAGAAAGGTTTGGGGCATAAAGGGCTCTTCCTGTTCTGTGCCCTGAACAGACCTGACAGGTACGGTCTAGTCCTTTCATACAAGTGGACAAATTTGAGTTGCCACTGGAGGGGAAGTAGTGGGGGAGGAGATGGTTCTGCTCCGGTTATTTCTGTTCCAAATGATTCCATCCACCTTTCCCAATTGGCCTTACTTCTCACTAATTTAGAGGAAAGAGCAAGTCCTTGTGGTGTGCGAATGACCGAAATGGGACAGGTTTTGGGTTTGTTTCTGTTTTTGATTTGGGGGATTTTGTTTGTTTGTTTTCCTTTGTGCTTAGTTAAGAAGGCAGTAGGATGTGGCCTGCATGTACTGTATATTACAGATATTTGTCATGTTGGGATTTCCAACTCGAATCTGTGTGAAACTTTCATTCCCTCAGATTTGGTTTGACAAAGAAAGGCAAGAGGTCCAAGAGAAGGACCAGTAACGTTCTCAGACTGGTCACACTGGCCCATCTCAGTTCTCAAAAGGTCAGAGCAGAGGTGGGAAAACAGCATGTAGGGATTTTCAGTTACTTAATCAAAACTCAAATGTGAGTGTTTTTATCTTTTTATCTTTCATACACTAGCCTTGGCCTCTTTCCTCAGCCTTAAGAACCATCTGCCAAAAAAGTACTGTTCCTCTCAAGATGGCAGCCATAGTGCATAGCTACTCAAAATATAAGTTACCTTGAAACATATCTTAGATGGGGAGCCTTGGGGAAAGGTAGAGGAGTCAAGTGATCATTTTCATTTTTGTTTTTACCGAAATGTGGGGATTTTCATTGGACTGTCCAGGAAATCGAGAAGTAGTCCTGAAGGACAAAACCTAAACTCTTACCATATGTTGTGGTCAGGCTCCAGACTCCAGATAACAGTCCCCTATGGAAAGATGGCATCAAAAAAGATAGATCTCTCTATATATAGATATATAAATATATATTATATAACATTTTCAGTGAGTAATTTTGGATTTTGCAAGGTGCATTTTTACTATTGTTACATTCTGTGGAAAATTTATGCTGATTTATTTAAGGGGGAAAAAAAAGTGTCAACTCTTTGTTATTTGAAAGTGTGTTTACTTTTCTTGTTTTTATTTTTAACCTTTGGTAGAACCATGGCAATATCAAATTGGGGCCTTTTGGGAACGGACTGGTATGTAAAAGAAAATCCATTGTTGAGCAGCATTTTGTTTACCCCTCTCCTATCCCTAGGCACTTACCCAAGACAAAAAGCCACAACTAACATCCCTTTTTGAATGACTTTTATAACGTGCAGCTCTATTTCAAGCCTGTAGCACTCTTCTGACCATAATAGAACCATATCCAAGGGTGATAACCATTTAGCATGTTGTTGAAGGTTTTGTTGTTTTGGGGTTCTTTTGTTTGTTTGTTTGTTTTTTCAGTTATTTTTAGGAGAAAAAAAAAACACACAAAAAAACAAAACAAAAAAAGGTTACCATTGCTCATGAAATTGGCATCTCATTTTTGTAGCTTCGCATCTTTTCTGTTTTGAAACGTGTACAGTAGTGCAGTGTTCCTGATGTAACTTTATGGCTTACAATGTTGACATGTCTCAGGTTCATGTGTTTTGATTGGTGTTTTTCTGTCTCAGGTAGATTACAAAGTGTAGGCCCCCACGCATTGGAAGACAAACTAATAATAATGATAAAGCAAAGCAAAAACAGGAAATTATGGATTTTAGTTGTATATTGGTTTATGTATTTTTTCTTAAGTATACAGTGCACTGTTTGAAATGTATTGTTGAGTATTATTTTGTACAGGTTGGTGACTTCTTTTAGAGTGAAGAAAGAACAAACTTGGTTTTTTTTTGTGTTTTTTAAAAGGAATATAAAATAATGAAGGATGTATAATTGATGCCAAATAAGCTTGTTCTTTAGTCACACCGAGGTCTTATTTTTCCCTTTAGGCCAGTTCTGTTTTTAAGGTGTACACAGACAATGTTACGGTGTAAGAAACTCCATATCCACATGTTCCCATTCGCATTTTGTATTGGTTCATGTATACCATTTTTACAAAAAAAAGAAAAAAAAAAGAAGTACTATAAAATATCTGTCTTCTTAATAAAAAAAAATTAATGTTACAAAGTGATCCCTCAATCTCATTCTGGACTTCTTGTGGACATATCAGCGCCTGAGAAAGGTGGGGCCACGGGGCCCAACTTCCTCCTTAGGACCTTGTTCACATGCAGGAACACAGGCAGTAGATGGTAGCAAACGTTGCCGGCCGGAGCTCTTTGAACTGCTTTCTCTCCTCTTATGCTCATCCTTCCTGCCCTTGTTCTCTCCTACCCTCGCAGCAGACAGGTCAGCCAGGTGCTCTGGCTGAGTCCAGGCTCCTCACCGTCGACTCAGCAATCTGTGCAGGTGTGCGGGACGCAGCAGTGCTCCAGCTGGGACAGGCCCCTCTCTATCTCCCACCTTCCAGTTTTCCCTCTTTCACCCACCACCCCCACCAACTTCCCTGTGTTGGCTACTCCACCTGTCTCTTACTTTGGGATTTCGTGTCTTAATTCATTCTGCCTGCTTCCTTTAAAGTTCTCTCTCCTTTAACACAAAGAAGACGTAATCTGAGGAGGAGGACCAGCTCAGCAGATGACAGGAGATTGTTCTCACTTACTGTTTAGGTTGCCGAGACTTTCAGAGCCATGTGTACAGCGGGATTCCGTCTGTTGTTGTCCCTCTTGCCTTGCAGGCTGAAGTGAGCAATGTTTACACTTCATGGTGACTGATCTCATAAAAGCTCAGATAATATTTGACCAGTCTCATAGTGCCCTTTCGCCCCTACTCACCCATCTGTGGTTGAGTGCCCCTGTCCTCTCTGGGTCAGGTAATGGGGAAAGCTGGGCAGTGAAAGAAAAGGTAAGCACCAGAAAAGCTACCTGCTGGGAATGCTACCTCAGTCACGCCCACCCTGACCTGGTTTCTTAGCCTGGCCTCTGTAAAGCTCAGCTCGCCAGATGTGCAGTCCTTGACTACCTGCCGTATGCCCAGCACCATGAGGGATACAGTGAGGATATAAGATGGACTCCGAAGGCTAACTGGGGACATCAGTTATACCCCTCCTGTCATCCTAAGTGAGAGATGCCCTAGCAAATATATACATTTCTTGGAGAAAGGAGCTAAGTGAAGGTTGGGTGGTCAGCTTCATGGGGCACCAGCTGCAGCTTAACAGGTAGTTTAGAGAGAAGGTGAGTCAACAGTGCAGAGAACAATAAGCCTGGCTAGCCAAATGAAGATGCATAGACATGTAAGGCAGAATCACTCTTGTGTCCATACACAGAATCCAGACAAAGGGAGGCTGCTTCATCAGACTGTGAGGGACCAGCACCGCAGGAGGTGGGGACTGACATACAGCACAGGCTAGATAGAGGAGACAGACTCGTCACCACTTAGTTATTATGAAACCTTGGGCAGCTGACCCAATCCACCTGAACTTGGTCTTATGCTCTGTAAAGTGTGATCACCACAACCTCAATGTATTGTTGTTTTGCCATCAAGTTGGTTCTGATCCATAGCGACCCTGTGTAGCATTTCCAAGGAGCAGCTGGTGAGCTTGAACCGTCGACCTTGCAGTTCAAACCGGCTTTGCAGTCTAGTTCATTAACCCACAGCGCCACACTTGGAATGAGATAAAGCTCTCAGTGCCTAGCAAAGTCAAGTACCAGGCACAAAGCAAGTGGTCATTATATGTTAGCTATAATTCAGGATCGAAGTAAATAGCGATGAAAAGGCTTGTCTACCAAGAAATGGTTTGGGCTTCTGTGCACTTATATACATCATGCCCTTGTGGTCCTTGCCTTAGAATGTGTCATGACCCCTTTCTGTGCATCATTCATGAGTATAGTTCTCCCAGATCACATGCTACACAGCATGTACATCATCCCCAACCCCTGTCCTCGCCTGTACATGGGATTCCAGATTCAGCTTTAACCTACCAAAGGCGACCCAAGGAGCTCACTGAACTGGGGTAGAAGTGAGGTGGCAACTTGCTGCATACATGCCATTTGGAGTGTCACATGATATGCAAATAAGGCACCAGAAGCAGCCCTCATTGGAGTGTGATAAGTTGCCTGGTTTTTCATCTGGTACTAGAGTGAAAATGGCCCTTGTTTCCTCAGGAGAGTTTTCACAAATGTTTTGGCTTGGTTGCAGTTTCCAAATACATCAACAGGAACCCTGAGGTGGTATGCGGGTGTTAATTGGTGCAATCTTTCAATGTCCTCTGTCTGCTTGAAATGTAATTCTTGCACTGCTGTGGACTTACTCCATAGAGAAATGTCTGTCTGATTCTGTCATCCAGAACCTTAAAGCTGCCATGCTGTTGCCATTCTACAGGCATAAAGACTTGTTTAAGTGAAGGCATTTTGTCTCATTTGCAAATTATACCTCAGACCAACATCCACACCTTTTTACCAGGATGCCACGAAGAACTGGCATGGGTCCTTGAGTGCAATTCATATTCACAGGTACACAGGGATCATTTGGAAATGTTTCCAAAAAAGTGGCTATACTGACCCATGCTGCAGGGGCAGGGAAAGAGGACTCTTGGTGATTGTGTAAATGACCTGTGGGCCAATATTGTGTTCAAGTCAGTGTAGGCACTACACAAGACGTAGCTGATTAAAGGGAGAAGAGTTCAGCAGGTGGTTGCTGGAATCTTTTCTTTATTCTTAGTCTGAACAGGATGTCAATTCTGTATTTCAAACCTTGACATTTAAAAGTCTGTCCTCACTATCAGTAACTTTCAGGTTGGCCTTGAAGAAATGATCCAGCCAGCCTTGAGTTTACTGCTATTGGTCCCATTATTCTCAAGGACCTGCTGGGATGGAATATCTGTTCTGCCCTCTGGGGAATGACAGTTTTGGTAATGGCTAAGCAAAGTCTGGTCATTGTTATCATAGAACGTAGGACCGTCAGAATGAAAATTTCAAAGTGGACGTTGGCCTCACTTGAGTTCACCTCAGGATGTTGCAAAGGTGGCTCATATGGGAACCACAGCATTCAGAGCCACCTTCCCCTCCCCCGCCCCCCTCATTACTCATTGCAGGAGGAGGGTATTTGGCACAAAGTCATGTTAGCACCCTAAAACTGAATGTGAAAGCAAGAAGAATTTTTCTATTAGCAAGCTTTCTAGTCCTCCATTTTACAAGCTGGGCTTTTCCACACACAGAATTACATTTATTTTATTTTTGTTGTTGTTGTTACTATTTTTCATTACAAAGAGAACATCACAATCTACTGCCCCACGTGTTCCATTTCAGGAACTGCAATTCAGACCTTGCATATTTACATGTGGAATTTATTCCAACAAGGAACCTGACTTCAAGTCTACTGTTTTTTCTCACGTGCAAACATATGCTCACCTCCTCCTATTTTACTCCCTCCTAATCCTTAGAAGTGTAAGCTGTTGGGCCAGAGATGCCAGGGAAGGTGTGAACAATTCGGGGCAAGTCAATGCATCCTGAGCCCCTCAACTTCTCCAGCTGCCCTCCAAACCTGCATATCTCAGAAGTGATCATCTTAAATCTTTCTTAAGTGCTATCTTCTCAGGTTAATTAATCACCAGGCTTAAACTTGCTGTTACCAGCAGGAAGTCCATCCTGAAGCCAGCAATGTTACGATTGCATCTTCTAATACTGTTTATCCTGCATTAGTGTTTACTTAGGGGGAAAATTGATCTGTAATTGATATTTCAGTCTTCCAGAGCTGATGTTGGAAGAGCCTAATGCAAGCCTTTAATAGCAAGCAAATATTTAAATCCCTTAATGGTTGCTGAATATTGAAATGTGTGAATGTGTGCCTTTATTACTCCTTTTTTTTTTTTTGGTTTTCTCGGTAGTTGTATATGTGATTGTTTAAACTTACAACAGATTCTGGGCAGGCTCAAGTCTAGCTAATCCACAAAAGCTGTTTGCCTAGACACAGCAGACCTGATTGAAAAGTATTCCTATGGAAGGGGGTCTTCTGCACTGATCAGTCTCTGTTAGCTAGTGACGAAATTACTACCCTTCTCCCCCTCTCTCTCTCTTTCCCTCTCTCTAGGCTTGTTTTCTCTAACCTCCTCTCGCAGAATAAAGTGATGGGGGCAGCTATAGTGTTGCAATTAGGAGCATGAATCTTTTATCGTTTGGACAAGGAAGGGGAAATGCCATTACTGTCAACCGAAATGTCCTACTTGGGTTTTTTGCTCCTACTTCCCTGCCAAAGCCCATTGCTGCTGCTGAAAGTGTATAGTATTCACAGCTGTTCTTGATGGCTTCATTCTTAACTCAGCCAGAAATGTAGCCCGGGAGATGCTTAAGACAGTTTATGGAAAATAATAGATTTCTTTGCAGAGACACCAAGGCATCGAGAAGGGCCCTGAGACACATTAAATTCAGCCAAGATCGCCAATCTCCTTTTCTGGCTTAAATTACAACGGCTGTTGTTTTTTGTTTTTTGTTTTTTTTTTTTAAAAAAAGCAGGCCCTCTTGAATTGTCTGTTTTCCCATTGGTTTCTGTCAGCACCCACAAATCTCTGGCTATGGCCACCCTTGTCTCGCCATTGGTCTCCAGCAGCCGTGGGATCGGAAAAGAAGCCGTGTCTACTGGAGCGGAAAGGAAAGGACGTTACAGAGCGGAGAAGAGCTCCCAGGAAAGCCAGTGGATGAGAGCTGAAACTAGGTCCATCAGCCTGGGTGCTCCAGAGACTGAGGGAGGCCACCACTGGTCATCCTAGCAGAAAGATAGGGTGCCCTTCCCTGTGTGACATCCCCGTGTGGCCATCAGGAATGCCAAGACGTGGTGGTATAGTTCTTTCCGCTACCTTCAGCTGTACGGCCCCATCACTGTGCCCAGACTCTCAGACCCAGCCCTTAGCTAGAATGAAACTCCTTTTGCCAGGTCAAGGGGGGAGTGGCTTCTCAGCCACAAGTGCATGTGGAAGGCTGCAAGAATGAAACAGCAAATCAGGCATCACAAGGTTGCAACTCCCAGACTGTTTCTGCAAATGCATGTCAAAAGCCATGATTTTGTTTTGTTTTGTTTTGTTTTTTCCCACCCCACTGTGTCTCTGGAGTTGTGCTGGGAAACCAGGGTAGAGGGCACGGGCCAGCAGGCCCTGGCCAGATTGCTCTCTCCCTTCCACTCTAGTTGCAAGCCACAAACACACCCCCAACTGAGTTGCCGCCACTCCCCCACTGTTTTCATTCTCAGCTTCTCCTAAATGGAAACCATTAATCATACTAAATTGTGCAATGATTCTGTGATAGGGAGAATGCTGATGGCAAAAATCATTCTCCTTTGTTGTGCCAGGCAGGCAAAAGGCAGAAGTATTAGCTCGTTGCCCTGCCTGGCTCCTTGCAAATGCTGACCATGTGTTTGCCCACGCAGCTGCCTCTATGCACACAGTTTATTTTAGCACTGGTCTAAGGCGGTCCAACTGTTGACAGAAAACAAGGCGTCCAGCCACCTTATCCTGATTCCAAGGACTACCTGGAAGGCATGTCATTCCCTGAGGCTTTCCCATCTTCCAGTCCCCCTGATCAAGCCCAGGGGTAGTAAGTGGTCTCCTGTGGAAACCCTAAGGTGGTCTCAGCCTGAGGGAGCAGGCAAAGTAAGCTGTACCCCCACAGACACACACCTTTGCCAGCTGGATTTCCAAAGAAGCCAGGTGTGGGTACCACGATGGCTTTGTGCCTTTCAGAATTTGATGTCTGCTTCGCTTTCGACAAGCCTCTTTGTAAGCCACCCCTTCTGAATTAGAATCATTTTCCAAAAGCTCTTAAGCTATGATTAATGCCGGGGCTGTTTTTAACAATCATCCTGCCAGTCTTAAGCTGTAGTCATTTTCAATAATCTGGAATTCTCAAAGGCAAGCCAGGAGTTTGTTGACAACAAAACCCATAAGAGCACAGCCAGGCAGCCACAAAAGATGGAAAAGCAAAGGGACCATTTGGGCTGAGCTGGTTTTCTGCTTCCAGAGTTTCACCACTAAAAGTTTGATTGAGCACTCACAATGCATTAAGGATCCAACTGTGAACATGGCTCAGCAAGAGGACTGCCAGGGCTGGCTTTTGTGTGAACAAATGAGCGGCGTGTTTGGAGGGCTCCTGGTTTATTTATGGACATGTGTGGTTCATTCATGCTGTCCCCAAACCACAATGCCCTCGTTTGTCTTCCCTTTGCCAACATGGAAGATTGAGAAAGAAATGCATTTGCTTAGCTTTGGGCCTGTTTACTTCCCATGAATACTGAGCAAGTCCCACCTCAGGATTGGGGAATCTAGCTCCATGGATGGCCCCGGCCGTTTCCCCAGTCATGTGTATTAAGCTAGCGTTCCTTTTTCATCTTGGCAATTTCATGCTAGAGTATCCATCTGTTTGAAAAGCCCAAACTGAAGCTATGACTTGAAATGTCCATGATCACAGATTTACTTAGACTCAGCTTCATGTGGCACTTACTTCTAACTTATTACTTCTTCCGGTAGGAGGAAGTCAGCTCTGGAGATAGGAGCTGAGGCAATGTGTTTGTTGGGATTGATAGATATTTGTGTCCCAACCCAACCCCTGCCCTGCCACCCCACCAGCTACTGTGTGGTGATGTTGCTAGTTAGGGAGAAGCAGATTCCTGGGCATGGTTTGGAGCTTTCATTAGCTAACTTCCACTAACCTCCCTTTAACCATAAACCACAAAGAGCCCAGTCCAGCATTCAGTACGGCCTTAGAGGTGTCTGCCATGTCCTCTCTCCATCCCCATTAACTTCAAGCCCTTTCCTGTGAGGTACAATGAAAAGATTCCCACTAGAAAATGATGATCTACCCATGACTCTCCATTCCCTACTAGACCCAACTCTTACAGAGTTCTGCTGGGTTTTCATGGCAACTTTTCAGGGGCCTTACAGCGACCTTACCTTCAAACCCCTACATGGCACCTGCCTTAGGATCATGAGATTCGGGGAAATGCAACATTTCCCTCAAACCTCCCTATATTCCCTTTCTGAGTTAACGTCACCAAACAGTCCTCCCAATTAGAAACCTGGGGGTCCTTCTTGATTCCTCCCTCTCCCACTTCCAGTTGGTTACCAATTCCCGTCCTGTACCTGCTCTTCAAACCACATCCAACCTCATCATTTTCATGCCTACTCCAGGCCTTTTATCGTCAGTCAGGCGATTGTCACTGCCTCTTCACTATTTTCCCATTTCCTCTCCACTCCCCGTCCCCATTATTTGTCCTAAACTGAAATATGATTGCTCCTTTCCTTCTTCTGAAACTAGTCTGGGTTGACCTTTGCCTGCAAAATAAAATCCAAGTCCTCACACTCTGCCTTCAATTTACTTTGACCTTTCAATCTCACTTGGTCATCCTCCACCACTAGTAACCCTCATCACCCACCCCTGCACCACCCCCTCCATTCCTTAAGGAATGTCTCACAACTTTCCATGCCTCTGTGCTTTTGAACGTTCAGGGGGTGTCCTTGCTAGACTTCTAGAGAATATCTCCATACTTCTGGGCCATTTCTCTGTATTTTCGCCACCCGTAGAGCTTTACCTCAACATGGGTTCTTACCACAGATCTGAACTGCTCATTTACCTTTCTATCTCCCGCAATGAAACAGTAAATTCCTTGAGAGTAGAGATGGTGTCTGATCCAGCTCCGTATCTCTGTATTTCGGAAGCCTAACAGTAGAATATCTGTCCCTGTGCTCAATAAATTATTGAATAATAATAATGATGATTGTTGTTTCCATCTATTATTGGACTGGTTTTACATCTGCCCTTTTCATTCCTGGAAAAATCATGGTAAGATCTGCTTCCTTTCTTTCTTCTAATCCACAGTTTTTAAGTTTCTAGAACTCCCTCTGTCTGCTTTGTTGAGTTCATGTTTATTTTTTTATCTGTTGCTGTCATCTCATTGGCACTATTTCCTCCCATCTCTCCCTTCTTCTATCTCTCTGGGCTGTTTTGCCCATTGAGGTCAGTAAGTACAGTGCCTATATCCTATCAACATTTTATACCTGTGCCCATATTTGAAATCTAGAAAGAAAAATATGAGCTCCAATATGTGGAGAAGAAAAGAAAACTTAAAATCCGAATTTTTAAATGTTTCATTAAATATTGACAAAGCCATAACAACCTGTAAACTGCACCTTAACTGGTAACTGATCATGTATAAAGTGTGTTTCATGTAAGCGTGTAATATTTTGGATGTAGTATGGAATACCAATACAGTCACTGTTGGGGCAGCTCTGACACATGGTATCAAATGGTTGTCAGAATAGAACAGTGCTCCACAGGGTTTTTCAACGAGGGATTTTGAGAAAGTAGATGACCTTTCTTTAAGGCATCAGTGGGTGAACTTCAACCTCCACCCTTTCAGTTAGGAGCCAAGTGCATTAACTATTCGCAGCTCCCAAAACCAAACCCTCTGCCATTGAGTTGATTCTAACTCACAGTGAGCCGTTTGGACAGAGTAGAATGCTCCCATAAGGTTTTCGAGGCTATAAGTCTATACAGAAGTAGGCTGCCTCATGTTTTCTCCCTCAAAGTGACTGTGGGTTTGAACTGCTGATCTTTCAGTGAAGCACCCCAGGGCACTACCAGGGCTCCTTCCAGTGGAGGGTTTGTTGTTGTTGTGAAGTGCTGTAGAGTCGATTCTGACCCAGAGCAACCTTGTATAGGGTTTCCGAGGAGCAGCTGGTGAGCTTGAACCACTGACTTTGCAGTTCAAACAACTTGGCGGTCTGATGCATTAGCCCACAACGCCACACCACGACTCCTCCAGGGGAGGGTAGAGTCTCCATAAAAAGAGGTCTTTTCACCTATGGAGGTCTTAGACAGTCCTGCCTCTTCTCTTTTCTTTTCCTGTTTTCTCTCCTTCTTTGAATCTTGCACTCCAACCCTCAGTACCTAGAACAGGTTCTGGAAGGAGCCAGTTCCAGAAAAGAGCAGGCCTCTCAGGTGGGCAAAGTAGAGGGCAGTATGAGCCGTCAAGTCCCTTCTGAAAGACTGGTACTTCTCATAGATTTGAGGACTCAACCCAAAATCTCAGGCTAGGCAGCTGAGAGGGCCCCCGATATACACAAAGCACTTCATACTGCCATTAGCAGTTGACTTTCTTGATTTCAGCAACAGAAATCTGTTGAGACATCTGGTCTGCACACCTAGCATCTCCCCGGCACATCAAGTTGTCAGGGTGGACATCCTGGGCTTTGGAAGGCAGATGACTTCTCAGCCCTGCTGCTGTTTTCCAGCTTTGGGTTTTTGTTTTGGTGTTGGGGGGGAGTGGGGTAGGCCAGTGGTCATGAACTCAGACTGCAGGAGCCAGTATTCATGAATAGTGCCTTTGATTCAGCTGTGACCTTAGACAAACCACTTTCTCCCTGGCCCTGCACTCTAGCTATAAAGAGTCTCCTGTCCCCAGATTGGTTCCAGTTATTTGTTTGT